TTCGGAGCGCACGACGAGCTTTCCATAAAGAGGGACAAAAATATGAGACCGATCTGTAGCCTCCTGTCGTTTTTAAAGGCTCGTACTCAGCATGACGACGAATATAGGAAATAATATTTTAATTTTTTTTGCAGTTTAACTACTTTATTTATGATTATTTATCGTATGGCAGTTTAACTACTAATAGTACCTATTACCACTGATGTCCAGTCAATTTTGTTGAGAATATACTACGCCGACGAGTATCTGAACACGGATATTTTTATGATTTAGACGAAAGTGGTAGTGGAAAAGGGTTGTAAATATTAATAAAAAATTTAAATGCATGCATTTTTATTTTGTACACGAACAGAAATTAAAATTATTTAAACAAATTGATACCATCGTAAATACATAGTATATCGTCAATAATTACTTCTTAGTAATACACTCATCGTTTGAGGGAAAACTGAATGTCTATTGAAAAATAATGCCAAAATTAAAACCTGTTAAACTAATTACGTTTGATACTTCTGCATGAAGTGCTTAATACTTTAGAGTATACGTAATTTACGCGTGAATAATCATAATAATGTTAAAATTATACAGCGTATGTGTAGTATACTCAGTGCTGCAACTACCGGGTGTGCAAGGTGTGCGTTGCACATCGGCCTCCAAACCGTTATAGGCCCCAAACGGTAAATTGATAAATGTAAAAAACAAATTTATGATATTATTTAATATTGATAATCAAATAATATACCTAACTACTAACTAGTTGCCAATGACCAAATGCAATACCATTGATTATAAATACTATTATATTACTAAAGTGTTTATAACCATATAGTAATATTAATTCTTAGAACAGAAATAATGCAGGTCTACATCAATGCAGGTCATTTAAAATTAAAGATTCACTAAACTACCTTCCATAATATAAACACCGATTAACATATTTTATTTAGAGTAGGTAAATACTTTTTTGAAAAAATATTTAGGCCCCAAATTCAGATTTGCATACCAGCCCCATAGTGTGTAGTTGCGGCACTAAGTATATTCTATGGCAGTATTTCCTAACCTTTATACTGGGACAGTCTATAAAATGTCCTTTATGTTAGGTTTATTTTAAATGAGAGTTTATCCTGCAAATAATTACTGTGACCAGTTATTGTTATTAATCGTTCAATGGTCTTTGACAACCATTTGGCGGATAGAAAAGGGCGCATAACGTACGTTTGCGATAAAACGTCCGCGGCTGCGTTACAATTTGACAATATTATTACACTTACTGTCGCGATTTGAATTTTCCTCGCGGAAGGATTGGAGCTTATAGAAATAATTTATGGAATATAAAATGATTCTCGAGCCGCACACAGCAGCTGTGCGTAAAAGCAATTTGGAACGATTGCGGAGGCCCACCCACCCTTCCCACTCATCGTTATTTAGGTATCGCGGCATCTTTATAGCCGAAAATAAACAACAACAGAATATTTTACATTAATACGAGTACATTAATTGCCTTCATGCTGTTTTACATCGTCACAATATTGTTCTTGTTGGCCCTGAAAAGGGCCGTTTTCGTTTGAGAGCGTGCTTCATTACATGTTTCAATCGTTAATCGTTTTCTGTTATGTTATTCGATATTAATTTTAATCATTTTTTGTTTCTATTTCGCTATCTATTATCGATTTCAATCGCTTTTTGAACAGTTTAACGTTATACTTATAATGTTATAAAAACATTTTGGTGCCCTGATACGGACACTTAGTATCGTTATAAAATGGGGTGATTGTAAAGTCGGCCCGAGGAAAAAAAGTTTTCAATAGGTCTATTGTAAACTCGGTCCATGTTTTTTTTAGGTAAAAATAATTTAAGTATAAACTCGGCCCGGGGTTTTTGCAGGTAAAAATAATTTAGGTGTAAACTCGGCTCGGATAAAAATGTACATTTGTATTATTTTCTTATAATATTTTTGAGAACCATTTAGCATTACCCAGAGGACACCATGAGGAGGCGTTGTATATATTCCTTTTAACATACAGAATATCACTTATTTGTAGATCTTGCGCGTCAGGTACATTGTTTAACCTAACTGCACTATAAAAAATGTTGTTTGGCCTACTGCAGATATCCTCAGTTTCTTTGCGCTTGGCCGCGGTGGTAACTCATTGTCGTAGTAGTACTTGATCCCTGATAGGTTCATGCAGATGATCATCATATTTCTCTGTAATATCATTATTTATTTCAAACATTTTTAAAAAAGCTGTACATTTATGGTTTATACATCGCCATTTTATTTCACCTATAAATATTATCGGGCCGAGATTACAACCGACCTTTTTTATTACTTGAAATTTCCGGGGCATTGCCCCCCCTAAAATACGCCTCTGGTTCCTATTCTACTTGTTAATTCGGCTATAATCGTTTGTTCAGATAAGTACGATATACACAACATTAGATGAAGTATAAATATTATTTTTAAAACGATTATTTTGTAAATTACACAGGTTGAAACTAACGGAGACTTTTTTTCCTGGGACTTGTTTTCCGTTTACCGTTTTCGACGAAATATTCTAATTTTTTGAAAAAATAAAACACCATAAGATAATTTAAGGAGCTCGGTTATTTACTGTAGTACAAAATCTATGCTCTGTTTCATGAACATGCCATCTACTACATTAAATTACCTACCATATAGGTGATGTCCCAAGATGATTTGACAAATGGAATAACTTTCGTCCTATTTATTATTTTTAATTATTTTTTTATTTTTTATTTTTTAATTCATTATTAGATTTTGCGCTGTGATAAAATTGTGCTAAAATATTTTTTTTTAATACTGAAAACTCAAATTTAAAAATTTTAAATTGTATTCTATAATTTGAAAAAAATAAAGACAAACGTTCGAGGTTCTACTGCCGTAGTTCATTTCGTTATACGACCGTGGACGTATAATATTATAACATTAAGTTTACTCGATACTGATGGCATTGGCGCAACTATAGTTCAAATCTCAAGATGCTACATGATGAACCCTCATCCCCCCCTTTTAAATATAACTAAGCTAATATTTGGACTATACCATTGTTATATTCATAATATCATTGTGTCTATTAAATAACAATACTTTCACTTAAAAAAACTTTTTATTTAGAATTTTTAATAATTTGTTATTATTATTACCCTTATATATAACACATCGTTCCATTCGTATATTTTTCATTGTAAAATTTAATTTTAAATTTTCAAATTTGAATTCTATAAATTAAAAACATATTTTAATGCAATTTTATTATAACGCAGATCTAAATATTTATTTAAAAAAAAAAAAAAATATATCGTAATATTATTTATTGCAAATAAGTCTATAAATACACATATATATATACAGTGGACGTCGTTCATAAGACTCACTTTGGGACCAGATTATAAAGTGACACTAGTTAACCGAATAAACCTTAAAGGCGGAGAGGAAAAAAACAAAAATTTGAATTAATTATTGACTTCGTTTCGTTTTTTTGCTTTTATTAATTGTAAAAGTTACTTACAAAATTTGAGTCTGATAACCGAATTTTTTTAATGTACTTTGATAAGTTCCAGGTTATTTTGAGTCTAATAAGCGATGTCCACCGTTTACAATGTAAATTATTCTTAAATACACAATACATCGTATGTATACAAATGGTATTTCATCTAGTCTTCCTCTCTCGTGTGAGATTTCCAACTAAGCTATTGTACACAGCGATGAGTGTTTTTACGTTGAGTTAAATATATATACATAATATTCTACATACCTATGGTCATTATACACACAGACATTCGTACCAATCGATTATTTTACACTTGATCATTTTTAATCTTTTCCGACTATTATCCACTGCTATATTATTATTTCCCAGGACATTCTTATTGAATTTCATTTTTAAAACTTTCTACGAATCGTGTATTTTCGGACGATATTAAAATTGCAGTCGGTCCATGACGTATCATAATCGTAATACGAGATTAAAATATTTCGCCTTATTCTCAAAAACTGCAGCGTTCAAAATATCGTACTAAAGTTTTACTTTTTAGACTATTGTTCATTTTTATTATACAATAATAATAATAATAATAATAATAATATTTTTTGCCACGCGTTTGACAGTTCCACTTCTTACTACGGAAATCTGCTTGCAAACAATAAACACATGGCTAGGTATTTTGATAAAGAATCAATTTCTCTGCCAGCGAACCCCGTAATGCCGGCACATGTTATAACCAACGGTTTATTTTATTTTTTCTATTCTTTTGATTCTCCGAAATAATGAGTTATTATATTATCTCAACTGACTTTATTATTACGACATTCATTTGGCCGTTCGTAAACGTGATATAATCGTGATCGGATACATGTCATGTGTCGCGAACATTACGGAATACCCCGGGGACATGGACCGGAGGTGGTTTTGATTAAGTTTAGCGAACAGGTGAGGAAAAAAAATAACGCCGTCGACCGAAAACGAAAAGCGCGTAATAAGATCAATGTGTGTTAAAACGCAAATGAAATATTATTATATTGTAACGAATTACGGATTCAGCAACCGGTATAGCGTTAAAAAAAACAGTTCTTGGATGATTTTTTTTTTTTTTATTGCAAACATCCTTCTAAAAGAAGCTATCGGTTAAATGACGCGTCCATAAGAATCGCAGAACAGAAACGTCGATCATTTATAGTCTGGCGTGCGGTTTATATCGGTAGCAGTGGCGGCTCGTGAACCGTATGATGGATGAGGCAGATATTTTCAAAATGTAAACCCACCATAGGGCAATGGGGAATAATTTCCCACCAAAAAATTTAAATCTTGAAAGTTCTGTTATCAGTGGCGGATTAAGCAATTTGCCGCCTACAAGCAGGACATTTGCCACTGTCTCATTTTCAACCTTTTTTAAAAAAAAAAAAACAAAATACATATAGAAATACATTGTTTGAGATAAATTATTTTTTATTATTTTAAATTGTATACAATAGTCTAACATTAAATTATTTTAGATCGGCTTTTGAGGTTAGCGAATGTATTGATTAGGTCTTGAAAGTCAATTGCCGACACTAATTCCGATTCAATGCACAGGAGAGCCAAATTATTTAACCGATTTTCACCAATAGTAGATCTTAAATACGTTTTAGTTCTTTTAAGACACGAAAACGATCTTTCTGCCGAACAGTTGGTAACCGCCATACAGGAGTATATTCTTAAAGCGATGCTAACATTCGGAAATAGTTCTTCTAAATTCTGATTTCTAAAAAATGTAAACAGACTTTGATTTTGTTGTTTTTTTTCTATTGCATTTTGCATATAAGTTTTAAAATGTATGCATTCTTGTGTAAATGTGTTTTCATCAATGTCAGTTTCATAAAATTGTTGTAGTTTTTTGGCTCCTTGGACAATATCATCAATATCAATCGACTTGTCTATGTTGATAAAAAATTTGAATTTATCGTAAATATTTTCATACCCAGAATGTCTCATATCCAGTTGTTTTCTGAGTTGATCCAATACGACAAAATAAACAGTTTTTAATTTGTCTTTACCGTCAAAAACCGCTTCATTTGCTCTAGAACTACATTCGTCTAGTTCATCGCATAAAAGGGATCGCGTAAGACGACGTTTTTTGTCTAATTCATATTCTTCTTTTCTAATTTTTTTTGCTTCATCAATGAATTTTTGGAACATTTCATTAGTTCTTATTTCACTCACATAACCAATTAAAGATTTGTATAGATCAACAACATGTTCCAAGTTAACTGATGTTGATTGTAAAATTATGCTTGTTTTATTGAATCGTTCTAACAGAGAAGTCTAAAATACGGCCATGAAGACCGACTCAAAGGTACTTAAGTTGTTTTTTAAACCTGCAGCTTTTCTACGATTTATGGGTTTTTCAGAATTATTATTTTCTATATCGTTCAATGTTTCCATAATTTCTTCCCAACTATTTTTAAAAGAAGAACATGCATTATAACGACTAGACCACCTAGTTCCAGTAGCTCTTTTTACTACCTTCTGATTTGGTTTCAATTTCTGTTTCATCAATTGCCACCGATAAGTAGATTTTGCAAAAAAATCATAGATGGCTTCTAAGTAATCAAAAAAAAATGCCGCTTCTTTGATAGAATCAACTGCGGACAATTCAACGAGGTTTAGACTATGTCCTCCACATGGTACATAAATTGCTAATGGATTTAGGTTTTGTATCCTTGTTTTTAACCCTGAGTAACATCCAGACATGTTTGCGGCGGTATCATAAGATTGACCACGGCAATCCTGTAAATTCAAACCAAATTCTTCCAGTGTACCTATAACTGCATTTAGCATGTCTTTTGCCTTATGTCCAATATTGGATATAAATTTTAAAAATCGTTCAACTTCGGCTGGCGTATCTTCTTGAATTTCTCGTTTTACATATCTGATTACAAACAACAGTTCATCCACGTGACTGATATCGGGCGTTGAATCAACAACAATGGAAAAATACTTGCTACGATTTAATTCATCGATAATCACACTTAATACTTTTTTTGCAATCAAGGAAATAAACTCTTCGCAAATTGTAGAAGACAGATAGGATGTCTTACCTCGACCCGGATTTCCATAAGCATCTATATGATTAGACATGAAAGGATCGAATTCCGCAATAAGCTCCAAGCACATCATAAAATTTCCATTCTTATTAGACCCAAATTGCTCATTCTTCCCTCTAAATGGTAGTCCTCGACTACCAAGTTTTTTTACTACCGCTACAACTCGTTGAAGCACATTTATCTATTCGATTTTTCAACTTACTTCTGTTTAAGAAAGTGCTAGAGCTTTGAACATGCTCTGTGGAATTTTCATGGGAGGTTAGGCCGCTGTGTACATTATTCCAATCATCATATCCATCTGTACCAAATTTTGAACTACCTTTACCAAATAAACGGCATGGAATGCAAAAAAGTGCCATTTTACTCGAAGAATAGCATAAATATTTTCTGTGCAGTTTTCCATTTTTCATTTTTCTTTCAAATGCAAGTTTTGTCAATGACCGATATCCACTTACTGAGGAGTAATACTTCCTTGTGACAGAAAAATCTTCAGGTATGTTCTGATCGATGTCTCTCGAAAGTAGTTGGTCTATTGTCGTCTCGTTTATTACCCATTTGGCAGGATCGGTATTTACAGTTATATTATCAAGAGATACCGGACATTTCGGGGCTGTAAATTTAGCTATATCTACGAAAGTCAGATCTCCAGCATCACCTACGTGGTTTTCTTTCTCTAATTCTAAAGGTGTTGAAACGGAAAAAATGATAGGGCTAGGGTGTAATATCTAATTCAGTATTGGGATGACAAGTTGAACTCGTTGAAGTACTTGTAGTTAAAGTAATAGTACTTGTAGTTAATGAGAGAATAGTAGTTGATGTTGATGAGTCTATATAAATATAACAATATTCAGTAATCAACATTAAATTATTTAAATTGTAAATGGAAAATTCTACACAATTGTAAATTAAATAAAAATTGTGTATTTTTTTTACCATAATTTATGTTGAAAAAATATTTTTTTTTTATGCATATTTGTTTTTAACACGTTCACTGTGGATCATATTAAAATACACATTCCTATATTAGGTACCTAGTACCTACATGCTACCTATATTATCTATGTTAATAAATTATAATAAAATTTTGCACACAAAACATCACGGAGTTAGGTACAATAATACAAATAAAAAATGCCGATTGGAGCACAGCAATAATAGAAAAAAAAAAATTTATTATTATTTTATAATAATAAAATAATTCAACAGTTGTATTATTTTATTATTATATAATATAAGTTACTGCAATGTATCAAATAATTATACAAACATAGATAAAAAAGTAATACAACATCTAATGTTATTAAGAAACGTCGAATCGCAACTACGAATTAATCAGTGACGTGCGAAAGCACGTATGTATTGTAAAATATTGTGCGGATGACACCATTTTATTGGCAGGTTAACCAAATCGCACTATCGCAGTGAACGTGTCATCAAAAATTTAAAAAAAATATTTTATAAAGTAAATTGTTTTACCTGTTTTTAAATTTGTGAAAAAACTATCAAGTTTTCTTGTTTTTTGAATCACCCTTTTCTCCTTTTCTTCGTGCTCTTTTCGGAGCTTTTTGTATTTTGCACCACTTTTCCTTAATCTACCATCACTCATTATGATATAATAATTTGAATAATAAATTGTTATACAAATTAATAAAGACGTCGTTAGTTGCACTGTCGGACAGTGTCACGGTATAGTCGATATACTAAATACTAATGAGTAGAATAATGTTATGATAAGGATAATATGTATAACATTCTTTGTAATTGTAAATAATAGAATCACGAAAATACAATACAATTGACAGAAAGAACGTCGTGGGCTATCGGCTATCGCTATAATATATATATGATAGATCTATAATTGTAAATTTTAAATAAACCGTTTCAGGGAAAAACATAGTTTCGCTAATAATAAAAATTCGAGTTCATCGCGTTCACTGAAACCATTTCAGTATTCAGTATTTCAGTGAGTTAAATGTTAGTAACTTAATGGCCAATATTCGTAAATATATTTTTTCCTAAGTGCGACAAATTTGCCGCTCCAATCATCTGATTGATTACATCTGATTACTTTGCCTGTAGGGTAACCCGCCACTGTCTGTTATAATAATTCATCGGTAGAGCGCGTCAAAGCAAATGTTAATATATCACTAAACGCAGAATATTGTATAAAATTAATTTTATATTATGTTTTATAAATTAAATTTCTGTCTTTAAGTAATGCAAATTTTTCAATTATTTTTTCGTAGAATTTTTGATCATTTTTTGATATAATATTAATTAACTCCTTTTCAATAGAAATTTTAGCTAAGAATGATAATCTTTCTTCTGTCATAGAATTTCTTAAATAACTTTTAATGCGTTTTAAACATGAAAAATTTCTTTCAACAGATACACTGGTGGAAGGTATAGTCAAAACAAGACAATACAGTTTATATGCTTCCATTAATAACCCAGACTCTTCTAACTCTTTTAATAATTGCACACATTGTTGAATACTTGATTATGAAATTGCTCATCAAAGTAAATAACTGATAACTGACAATTCATTTTTCAATTAATCTGTATCAAATACTTCTTAATGATTTAAATTTGGAGTATCAACTAAAGATACAAATTTTAATTTATTTAAGTATTAGAAACGGTCAGTCAATTGACGATAGGCGCAATTTCAATAAAAAAATTGAGTTTGTTTAAGCTCTGTATTTATTGGGTACCTATTTAATTTATATTAAAACTATAATGATTTAATGGATTTAATGAACTAAATTTTTTATAAAAATGAATACAATAAGCATTAAAATATAGAAGTACAAAATTTCAAGTTTATATAAGATTTATTCGCCTATCTTTTTTAGCAAATGAATCTATAACTTTATTAAAATTTATTAATTTTGTCAAATCTTTTTCTATGTATGGTATTGACAAATCTGTTAGTCTGTTCTGCCCAATTGAAACTCTAATTTATTTTATTTTACGTAAAGCAGAAAATGATCATTCACATGTGGCAGAACTAATTGGTAGTGTAAGTGCCATCTGAAATTGATATAGTCTTCATTAATATTTTATAATTAATATTAAAAATATCAAATAAGATAAGTAGAAAAAAATGGTTAATAAATTACTTATAACAGTTTGTATATACTTGGAAATACATTTTTTTCTATTATATTTTTAAGTGTATTAAATCAAAATCTTTGTTTATCTGTTTTAAACAATTTTTTTCAACCATCATTTTTGCCTTGAGTGATGCAACTTCAATATTAAATAAACCCTGATATTGTAAACTATGTAATGTAATGTTATAAACATACAATATTATTAGGTAGGAAGTTATTTTTACTTCAAAATGATTAATAAGCGGTTGACTTTCATCAAAGTCCATCAGAAAAAAGTTGTCAATAGCAGAAGCCAATAACAAACTTTCATCAGAAAAACGTTTCTTTAAGTTGATTATTATAGTATCAAGTATGACAAAATATATTTTATTTTTCCAATAATTTTCAACAGAATCCTCAAGATTTATACTATCAGCAGATGTTGATGTATTTAGACAAAATTCTTTCAAACTATGTGGTTCTTTTCTTATTCTTTTAGAATCTAAAAATACAAAAGAAATTATAAAAACCCTATAATGACAATCGGAATTATTACAAATGTTAAACACTTCATCAACTATATACTTTTCAAAGGTTTTTCTAAAGAAATGTTATTGATTTTCAGCAAACTCTTTTATTTTTCTCCATATTACCAAAAATAAATTATAATTTTTATATTTTTTTCAAAAGTCTCAATCACAGTTTTAATAATTCCTGCTGCTTTTCCTAGAGTTGCAGTTTTTTGTTGTAATTTATTGCTTAGTATATTAATTACAATTAATACATCATGAAAAATAAACAAGTGCACGACAAACAATCCTTTAGTTATGGTTGAATAAATACCTAAAAATAAAAACAATAATTTGTTATAAAAAATTATTCATTGTTCAGTGTTTATACATCAAAAAGTATTATTTTTATTTAATATTTTATACTTTACCAATAGCTTAACTGACATTTCTATCATAATTGGCTTCAATTTCTTCATTTAATATCTACTTGTAGAATTGCTTTAAAATTATTTAAAACCACATCACAATTTTTATATCTGCAAACCCAACGTGTGTCAGATAAATGAGTCATAGATCTATTTTTTAACCCCAATTAAATTTGTATGTCTTGTAGCTTAACATTTTTCGAAGGAAATTAAAAATAGATATGTATTGATTCTAAAACATTAAATAAACTCCTTGCACTCTAAATAAATAAAATTATAATAAACAATTAAAATTAAATTTGTTTTTCGAAAATTATAAAAAATGAATACCGTCATATAATTGCACATGTCAACCACAACCAAGTTCAATTGATGTGCCATACAATGAGTAAAAATCGCTGTGGGGTATTTTTCCTTAATTTTTGCTTGTACGCCTCCTAAATGACCTGACATAACAGCCACGCCATCATGTGATCGAGTAATTATATTTAAGGGACTTAATTCAGAGTTTTGTAAAAATTTCAAATTTCAGTAATCAGATAATCAGCATCATGCTTTTTAGATACCTCCAAAAATCCCAAGAACCGTTCACGAATTTCTAGTCCTACAGTGTAAATAGACATATAGACATCTGATAGCCTTTAAAACTCCTTAAATAAATATAAAAAAATTGTGTGGTTTAATTGATTGTTATTGAATTATGAATAAATAGGTTATCATTACTGGATTTTTTTTAAGTGGAGTACTTGAATTTTAAAATTACCTAGCTTCATCACACATTAATGCAAAAAAACCATTTGTTTGTACATCCAAAATAATGTTGTGTCTGACATAATCAACACAAATACTTAAGAGTTGATTTTGTATAAACCATTTAGAATAGTTTGTACTACAAAAATGTTCAAGTAATTTGCATACTTCTTTAAAGTTACCTTGAATATTTTAATATTATTAATGTTTTTTATTTATTAATTTTAATAAAAGTTATTACATACCTTGATTCAAGAAATTTTCTTTTTCGATGTGACCTCTAAAATCCATACCTTGCCCACTCAAATATAATAAAATTTAAATTAGTTGCGTAAAGTAATGATTTTCTTAAATTCGTTTTTTAACAGTGGCGGTTTTGGGGGTGAGGCAAGTGAGGCGCCGCCTAACCTACAATTTAAAGTAAAAAATACTATTAAAGTATATATTTTGGCCCACCGATAGCATATAAATATTTCGATATTAATTTTTAACGTTTTTATGATTTTATTTGAGAAAAAATCTTCTTTGCCAAGTTTAACAATATGAATTATCATTTATTATATTGTAAAATAATGGTAAATCATATCATTAGTGTTTATTACCAAAAATAGTGATAAACCGATAAGAAATGAATGAAAATATAAGTATTACGTAAACAAACGCTGGTGTTTCAACCGGTGGCAATGTTCCGATGACGTCAGAAGGCACCGTTCATCTCCGCCTCAGAGTATGTACTATTGTGTACATGAATTACACACACAAGCGTATATACGCGAATGCACGCGACTATAAAATAACTAGAGTTGCGCATGCGTAATGATCATTGTGAGGCTCGACTTACATCGCCTATGAAATAAAAATAGACTCGGTATACAGGAATATATAGTCAGCCGGTATTTCAACGTAAAAACACATTATCAGTAAAGATGTTATTGTTACAATCGAGATTCGGGACAGTCCTAATTAAACCGTTGTCCGTTGTAATATCTATTGATAATAATTTTATATTTATCATTATTTATTCATTAGTCATTTCTGTCTTGACGTCTTGTACGAATATTCGCTTGTGTCTTACACTTTTTCCGTTTTCGGTGGTTTCGTCTTAACGTCTGCGTTAAAATATATGTGCGAGTGCTGCAGTTTATTGTAATAAACATTATTAAATTAATTACTGTTGGAGTTATGACGTATCCAGTGACAGACGTGGTAGTTTAATTTAGTTAATTAATAGTTTTAGAACTAGACATATTTAAAAGTCCTTTTCAGGACTAGGCATACCTACTTAAAAAGTCCTATTCAGGACTAGGCATACCAACTTAAAAAGTCATTTTCAGGACTAGGCATACCTACTCAAAAGGTCCTTTTCAGGACCACCAAATTTTAAAATGCTCTGTTTATTACCTATCTATTATTACTATACGAAACAAGTATATTATTAGCATTCATACAATTATAATTATTTTTGTTTTTAAATTACATTTATTGTGAATTCTAATTTTGTATGGAGGGAGGGGGGGGTGATACATTATGTTGCCTCACCGAAAAAATACTACCAGAACCGCCACTGGTTTTTTATAACCTTTTGATAACTGACTTACAACTGATCCTTGTAATTTTGAACTTTTAGAACTTTCAAATTTTGATTTGCTTGTAATATGATATTTCCGGGTAGAGAGTAGTTTCAATTTTTTATTGTCTAATAGTTAAAATTTTAAATAAAATAAACTTATTTACAATCTTTATATTTCTATCTCTAATAATAAGAAATAACCAGTTGGTAATAATTATTGAAGAACATTTAAATTAATTATAATAAAACTATAATACATAAAATATAATACTTTTCTCCAATTTTGAAAATCTTTATCTGTGAAAGTGTCTTGATAATTATTTCCCAAACCAAAATCGGTGCTGAACGTGATAATTATATAATTGACCGCGACGACTAGATTTAGTAGAAAATATATATAAATTGGGCAATAATAATTAATAATGTTCTATAAATAGATATGAACTCGACAAAATGTGAATTGGCGTATGTTGAATAACATTTTTTTCATTTATATTTCATTACAGTATTATATTCTAATAGTCAAATGTTTGATGAAAAAAATAAGTTTTTGATACATAAATATGAACATTATTTGAGGGTACTAACTGTAAAATTGGGGGTGCTAATACCCCCTATACCCCTCCTATTTGCGCCTATGCAATTGACATATAATATTATCCAATATTTCAAATCGTAATATTTTATACTTATTTAGAATTTCAGTTTCAGATAACCTTTCTGACCGTTTAATAAAACTATATTTTTTTGCTTCATTATAAAAATAAGTTGACTGATCATCATTTCTTTAAGATTTTATATTATTAATAGCTGAATTGACTTGCTCAACACAATAAGCCTCATCTAGATATTTAAGTTGTAGAACTGAATATAATGTATCAGTTGTATTAAATATTTCGTTGTACACCATCATGAAAAATACAAATTCAAATTTTTTAAAGTTATTTATGAAAACTTTAGTTCCATTTATAGATTCCATTCCTGACTCAGGATTATCTCTAATACATACCAGTACTTCTAATAACTTATCTAAATTTAAAACAACAACATTTAAAATTTTTGATCGTGTGCACCAATGAGTCTCATTAGCTCTTGGTATACGCTTGCCAATAGTTGTACCTAAAACAAATGTTCATTTTGGAGACTTTTTAAAAAATACAAAAATTCTTAAAAGGGTGGCAAAAAATATTCAAGATTGAGGCACACAATAACTTCCTTGCTGTAAAACTAGATTTAACCGATGTGCACAACAATGAGTAAATAGAGCACTTGATGCTTCATCTCTAATTCTTTTTTGAAGACCATTAACATGGCCCCATCATAACATTGAGCTATGAACTTAGATCTAAAATTATATGGAAATATATACATATAAATACAATATAAATACACTAGTTATTAAATTAAAAAGAAATTCAGAAGTTTTGCTACTACTTATATCGTGAAAACCTAAAAAAATCTCCTTTAACTCACCAGTTTTTTTACATATCTTAAAGTAATTGCACATTGGGATTTTTCCACAATGTTAGTAGTATCATCAGATATAACAGCAAAAAAATTAAGATCATTAATTTCAGATTTTATGACATCAATTATGTATTCATAAACACTATGTATGATTTCGTTTTGAATTGTTTTAGATTGGCCAGTAAAAACATTGCTTCTTTTTTCATAACGAGACAATAACTCAGCATTACTAACCTAACCTAACCTGAGCAAATTAAATATTTCACGAAAGTTTTCCTGGTTAATTAATGAAATGCTTTCATTATGACCTCTAAAAGCCAACTCTTGTTTTCCTAATAGTATTACAACTTCAATTATTTGTAGCAAAACTAATCGGTTTTTTCTAACATTGTCGTTATACAATATCTTGCTTAAACAAGAACCCTCATTTAAGGCATCAATAATTGTTCCTTTATTTTATTCTAACCGAACTAACCCAATGAAGTTATTTATATAGTCTTTTGAAGCTTCATTTTTTTTACACTTCTTGACAAGTTTTTTAAATCAAAATAACCATCAGAAGACCAAACATTTTTTACTTTACTGAGTAAAACACAAAGCCAACAATACAACCTCTGTTCATAAAAGCTACCACATAACCACTTGTGTGAATCATACCAAGATTCCTTAAAAGAACGAGAACACACCTTAGAATTTGAATTTTTTATATTTAAATTATATAATAAAACTATAGGACGGCCGTCATTTAATATCTGACGTTTGTTATTTTCACTACGTCGAGAAAATGGTGTTTCAAGTAAACTCATAATCAAATCATTAAACGGAAACATAATTAGTTATAACAAATTAAACAGAAAAGTATAAAAAACTATTTATTACTCTTAGAGATCTACTGTAGTACAAATTACAAGACACTAGACACTAGACAGAGACTGAGAGACAGTACAAAATTGAAAATTGAATAATAATAATAGGTTATGTCTTTAATATTATTATACTAAATGTTAATTGTTATTTATTTGATAAGAACCGTTATCTTTAGTTTGCGATAAAAGTATTGTGGGTAGGTATACATTTATATTAAACAATACTGCGACAACCTCCCAGTCCTATTTCTATTAGTGGAAGTTACGTCGCTTCGACTAATGACTAATGGATAATGTTGACTAACTCTGAGGCCCGAATCGTTCTGCCTCATTTCATAATAAAATTCCGATTTCCCCCTCTACCATGATATATTTTATAATCGTACTCGTCTGAGGCTAAATATTACTAGCCTTTCGGCACTCTTCAGCTTTCGTCGAGATCGTTCTATCGTTCCACGAACATCGTTGTGATTTTTGATAACAGTGACGAAGTATGACGTATGTACGTATTATGTACTATTATAATAATGTTATATTCGATAAAATAAATTTGTTTTTTCATTACAATAATATATAATAACAAAAAGCTTTTGTATTTTAAAATGTATAATATATTATTGAATATTATAATATTATTGAAGTCGATTAAAAATAACCATAATTATAATATATGTACCTCCTTTCTTTTTACAATAGTTAGGTGAGACTGAGCCTCACTTGCCTCCCTTAA